ACCCAGAAGTATTGTGCCTTCCATGCGACGCACGAACATAATACGAATATTTGCTTTGCTTGGAAAGCACACCTTGAAGAACTTGTGAGAGCAGGTCACTCGCGAAGCAAGCCATCCAGCAGATAGAGGACCGCGATACCGCCAAGGAACCACCCCAGAAGGTCATAAGGATTAACACAATCCTAGCCGACTCCGAGGAGTCCGAACTAACCAACAAAGAAAAGAAGAGAAAGATTAAATAGGCTACCATGATCTCCCAGGTCTCCACTAGTCTCCCACTAGCCGAAGACGATCCCGTGATCGGCTTCTAGAAGAAAGATCTAACCGGCCTTGATCTACCACACAATGACGCCCTTATCATCAGCATTCAAATTGCGCAGGCCATGGTTGACCGAATCCATACAGACGAGGGAAGTGCAGCAAACATCATACAATTGGCAGTTATCCAACAGATGAGCTTAGAGACAAAGATTAATAAATCAGCCAAGTCGCTGACTGGCTTCAATGGCGCAACAACGGTTACCATGGTCTACTTCCCCCTATAATCAGCTCACAAATGTTGATGGTCATTAATGAAGTCTCACCCTATAACGGCATTTTGGGAAGACCATAGATCGTCAAGATCAACGCAATCACCTCCGCCACACATCAGAAGATTTGCTACCCAATCCCTGGGGGTGGTATCGGCCAGATCAACAGTGATCAAGCAATGGCGAGGAAATGCTCACCTCAAGGGATGAAGAAAGGCAAGCAAACACAGTTCCGTCCTGTGAATCAGGCATATCTAAAGGGAGTAGAACAAGCAGAGGAGAAAGCAGATCCCATTTGTTGGTAATTTTTAACAACAATATTAAAACCTTGCAAGTGCACAAATCAAATGATAATATAGTAGGCAAGCAATGGTCATTCCCACAAAGATAATAATCTAAAGAGATGTTTATCAGTGTCACACAACGAAAACACAAGGACTTCCACACACACGCCAACACCAAAGGGGGTTTTGATTTGATTTTGTGAATAAAACAAAACAAGGAAAAGAAAAGAAAACAGAATTTAAATTAGAGTCTTAGATAAATTGGTTTAAAATCAATCAAGAACAATAGCTAGGACTCACTATCCACCTCTAACCAATCAATCAATTCATACACAACAATAGATAATCAATTTCTAGCAAGCATATGATGACGACACTCACAACAAGATCATGGCATTTGACTCGAGTTGTATGATTCTCTCTTAAGTGCATGTAAAGTGTATGGCATTTACATCAATACGTGTATTCTTAATTGAAATCTAGTATGGCATTTACTCAAATTAACAATCAAGAATCCATTAAGATCAAAGAGAATATGAGTGTCACAAAAACCCTAAAACATGGCATTTGTTATTAGGAATTCAAGAATCGATTTCTCATAACTAGTTCTTAACCCAATTATTCGTTGCAAACAAGAACACATTCAATATGACAATTGACCTATGTTCTACAACGATTTAATTCCAATACATGCTTCCAAGTTAGCTACTCAAAGAAACAAAATATCAGAATTTACATAACATAGAGAAACCGAAATCATCACGCTTGTAGGAACTGAAAATCCATTCAAACTTGTTTATAAAATTGAAATCATGTTTAGGGCTTCAAGATTAAGCCCTAACTAACAAGAAATTAGTTACTCATATTCTTGGAAGAACTCAAAAATAAATACATAAGAACTGAAAAAGTCAAAGAGGAAAGGAAAAGAAGAACTCATTAGCAGATTTCTCGTCTTGTGTGGTTGATCTCTTTAGGACGTGAATCCTTTGTATGGGGGCATTGGCTGGCCTTTTATATCACTTATATCAGAGTTTTAAACCCTAAGATTGACTGAAAAGTCATTCAAGAAGTCTTGGTAAACAAGGAATCCAAATAGGAAAGTAAAAATCACAATTCCTAACTCCACAAGGAAATACAGCTCAGCCCCATTGTCACACTATTTGGGGATCTTCAGCCTTCTAGAAAAACCAGTAAAAAATATACTTTAGAAATATAAATGTCTTATCTTTCCAACCATATATAGCACGTAACTTGGAAAATTCTGGAAGGCTTCCGTTTCTTCACATTCACGTAACATGTACGAAACTGTCCTGTCTGCATGTGGGCTAACTTTACTTATAATACTGTACCAATAAGCCCCTTTTAAATCTAATCCTCCTACAAAACCTAAGTAAAAAGAGTACATAAATGAGTATATTTATGGACTTATCACCTTTCCTGACGGCCGAGCAGACCAAAAAGGAAATGGAATAACTACTCCCCAATAGTAATCAAAGAATCAGGACCAAGTTGAGGGAATCCGTCCGGATGTCTCTCCTGAAGAAGGATGGAAGCCTGAGGGGGACATTGAGCTAGTACCCCTTAATCCTGACAAGCTAGAGAGAAAAGCGCGGATTGGCTCTGGCCTAAGCCAGGAGGAAAAGGCAGAGCTCGCAGCCTTCCTCCATAACAACAAAGAAGTATTTGCATGGTTGCCATCCGACATGCCTGGCATCAATCCCCAGATCATCTGCCATCGTCAATACGTCAACCCAGCTATCAAGCCTGTAGCGCAGAAGAGACGCAACTTTACCCCATAGCGGGTTGTCATCATTGAAGCCAAGATCAATAAGGTTCTAGCTGCCGGTTTCATTGAAGAAGTCTCCTACGCAGAATGGTTGGCGAACGTCGTTCTAGTAGCAAAGAAAGAAAAAGGTTTGTGGAGAGTGTGCATCGACTACACCGACCTCAACAAGGCATGCCCTAAAGACAACTTTCCACTATCTAGAATTGATCAGCTCATCGATTCAACTTCCGACAACCAACTGCTAAGCTTCATGGAGGCCTACTCTAGCTACAACCAAATCATTATGCATGAAAACGACAAGGCAAAGACCTCTTTCATCATCGAAAAAGGTACATACTGCTACAAAGTCGTGCCCTTTGGGCTGAAGAACGTCAGAGCAACTTACCAAAGGCTGGTGAACAAAATTTTCAAGGAGAAAATCGGCAAGACTATGGAGGCCTACGTAGACGACATGCTAGTCAAAGCTCCCGGGCAAGCAGACCACATTAAGAACCTTGCCAAGGCATTCAGTTTACTATGAAAATACAACATGAAGTTGAACCCGAGCAAATGCACGTTTGGAGTCTCGTCAAGCCGATTCTTGGGATACTTAGTCACCCAAAGAGGAATCGAGGCACATCCAAATCAAATCAAGGCTATACTCAACATGAAGTCACTTACAAGAACAAAAGAGATACAAAATCTAACGAGTACGGCGGCAGCTCTCAACCGATTCCTCTCAAGATTTACCGACAAATGCAGACCATTTTTCAAAGTCTTGAAGAAGGGACACAAAGACAAGTGGGATGACGAGTGTGAAATAGCTTTTCAAAACTTGAAAACCTACCTCACTTTACCTCCCTTACTCTCAAAACTGATACCAGGCAAAGACTTGTAGATCTTCCTAGCGGTGTTCGACGAGGCTGTCAGCTCAACCCTCATCCGAGAAGAGCTGGAGGCACAACATCTGGTATTCTACACTTCAAAAGCTCTCCTTGATGTGGAGACTCGCTATCCGAAAATGGAGAAGCTCATTTTTTCGCTTGTCATTTCTGCAAGAAAACTAAGGCCCTGCTATTAAGCACATCGGATAATTGTCATGACATAATTTCCCTTGAGATCGATCCTCCACAGCCCTAACGCTTCTTAGCGACTCATGAAATGGGCTCAGATGATCAAAGTTTTCATTGCCACCGGGGCAAAGTTTTCATTATAATCAATACCAGGTTTCTAAGCATACCCTTTAGCTACAAGCCTAGCCTTGTGTTTTTGAACTGTTCCATCCAGATTCAACTTGGTTTTGAACACCCATTTGACTCCTATGACTGGTTTATCTGTTGGCCTTTCTACTAGCTCCCAAGTTCCATTCTTTTCAATAGTTTCAATGATGCTTCCTTCCATGCTTTGTCTTCAACAGCTTCATAATAAGTTTTAGGTTCAATAATGGTCATGTGACATCTTGCATAAATGTCCTCCAAACTTCTCAGCTTTGCTGGTCTATTGCTTGGAGTTGACCCTTGACTGGTGCCACTGCCATTTCTTCCAGAGACATGTTTATCATCTGAGATTAATTGATTCAGATTTGGTGAATCAATGTTGTGAGTTTCATGAGAAGCTTCTTCTGTTTCAGCTATCTCAAAATTTCCATTTTCAAAGATGAAAGGCACAGAAACAGTTTCATCTTGCTTGCTTTCCCAATTCCAGGATTTGTTCTCATAAAAAACAACGCTTCTAGAGAGTAGAATCTTCTCAATTTGAAGATTATAGATCCTGTAACCCTTCTCACAGCTGCCATAACCCATAAAAATTCCTTTGCTTGCTTTGTCATCAAACTTCTGTCTAAGGTTTGATGGAATGTGACTGTAACAGATACTTCTAAACACTCTCAGGTGTTTTACACCTGGTTTCCTTCCTGTGAAAGCTTCAAATGGAGTTTTGTCTGAAACTGAAGTAGTATAGCACCTGTTTTGCATATACACAGCAGTACCAAGTGCTTCAGCCCAGAACTTTACAGGGATTTTCTTCTCAGTCATCATTGATCTTGCCATTTCTCAAATAGTTCTGTTTCTTCTTTCAGCAATCCCATTTTGCTGAGGTGAGTAGGCAATAGTCAGTTGCCTCTCCATGCCAAGATCACTGCAATACTCAAGGAATTCATGTGAAGTGTATTCTCCACCTCTGTCACTTCTTAATTTCTTTAAATTGAATCCACTTTGTAGCTCAACAAATGCTTTAAACTTTTTGAACACACTTATCATACTTGACTTGTTTCTGAGAAAATATACCCAACACATTCTTGAATAGTCATCAATGAATGTGATGAAGTATCTATTTCCTCCAATCGACTCATTTTGCATTGGACCACATACATCCGTGTGTATCAACTCAATTGGATTCTTAGCCCTCCAAGGCTTCTCATTCTCAAATGGTTCTTTGTGTTTGCTGCATTTTTTTCATGCTTGCAAAGTTCAAATGCCCCAATCTTCTATGCCAAACCCATGAATCTTCTTGCACTGCTGCTTTCATTCCCATTGAGCAGACAGATTCCATAGACAATGGAGAGCATCTATTTCCAGCCATTGCTACTTTGGCAACAACATTATCAAGGCTGCTGTCATCACATATTAATGCATAGTTTCCTCCAAATAGAATGTAGTACCCATGCTCCATCATTTGTCCTACACTTAACAAATTCTCATCCAAACCAGGGACTGACAGCACCTCATTTATATATCTTCTCCCTTTTCTTGTCTCAACTACTAGTATCCCTTTTCCTGTGGCTTGAACAAGGTCACTAGTGCCCATTTTCACTTTGCAGGTCACTGACCTATCAAGATTGATCAACAAGGACTCTTGAGAGGTCATGTGATTGCTGCAAGCACTATCAACAAACCACATAGACTTGCTTGATGCAATTGAACTTGCATGACAGGCATAGAACATTGTGGTTACCTCTTCCTCCTTTGCACAGTTTGCAACTTGTTTACCATTGTCACAGTCCTTTGTAGTATGACCAAATCTATTGCATTTTCCACATCTAGGTTTGCCTTTGTGCCTGCATACACCAAAGTGATACTTTTGACAGACTTGGCATTGTGGTTTCACACCACCTTGACTGCTATTTCCTTGCTTGTTTTGTGGATTGAAACTGTTGTTCCAATTCCCTCCAGAGCCATTACTCCAATTTGAGCCACTATTGTTGTTAAAGTTTCCACCTTGAGACCAGTTTGAGCCCTTTTTGTTCTGTCCTTGCCATTTTTGATTTTGCTTTCCCTGAGAACTTTTGTTAGCTGCAGAAGCTTGATTATTTCCAACTCTGAGACTGCTAAAAGCTTTCTCAGTTCCTGCCAATTTATCCCTTTCATCATGTAGATCCTCTCTCTTATCATAGACTTTGACAGATGCAAGAATTTCTTCAACTCTAATAGTGTCAAAGTCTCTGGTACTTCAGTGATTGACACTATGGACTTGTACCCCCTACTTAGACTCATCAACAATTTTTGAACAATCCTTTTCTCTGTTACATCTTCTCCTAGAGATTTCAGGTTGTTTACAGTTTCAAAAAATCGAGCCAAGTAGTCATCCAGAGATTCAACATCATTCATTCTCAAATATTCAAAATCAGCTCTAATAGCTTGTAATTTCACAGCTCTTACCTTTTTATCTCCTCTGAACTCTCTTCTTAGAATTTCCCAAGCACTTTTTGCAATCTTCTCATTTCTGATGCGAGGAAAGAGTTCATCTGTCAGTGCTCCTTGAATAAGACTCAAAACCTTGGCATTTTTGATCTTATCTTCTCTGGAGATAGTAGGTGCTTCCACTGGGATTTGCTCAGTCTCACTTTCTTCATCTCCAGTGCCTTTAGAGCCTGCTTCCTGCTCAATAATCGGCTGTGGTTGTATTCCAATCTCCACTGCAT